AAATTTTTTGTTTGTTTGTTTGTTTTGTATTTAAAAGATACCTACTACACCCTTTATGCTTTCTGTACCTAGACAAATAAAATTGTTCAAGAGACAGCCAATCGGTAAAAATCTCTTACTGATTGTTTAAAAAAAAAAAAAAAGCCCTTGCAAATTGTCAACAGGCAATCTGCAGTTTGTGGCTTCCAAGAGTTGTTTTTAACAATATATTTGTCAGAATAGCGGAGAGGCAGGTCAGTCAACATGTCAGACAAAATTAAAGTATTTTGATAGTGTCACAAACACTGTGATGGAAATAAAGCTTTAAACATTAGTCTATGTCTGCACTTCCTATAGAGTAAGTAGTTCCTTACGCGTAATAACATTCCATGACAGACAGATTTAATCTCTTTAAAAGATAAAATAGAACAACTTTGCTGGAGGACATTGAATTTCCTGTTCTGTGCTGATGTTTCACTCTCTCTCTTATGGCAGCCTGAAGGATCTCAAGCATGTTTGAGTGATACAGCTTCTTTTCTAGGAGCCTTTACAAGGTTTTGTGCTTTCCCTGAATTTATTTACACACACCTCACTGATGATGAGAATTACTGAGTGTTCTTCACCCCGTAACAACAGGAACTCAAGAGGATTATTGTTGGCTGCCAATCCTTTTAGCACTTAGGTGTGGTGCATTCACTGACTGGGGGCACCAATGAAGTATATAATCTAGTGAATGCTATTACCAGTGGATTTCTCTGTGCATCTCAAATTTCTATTGATTTTCATCTTTAATCATATATGCTCCTTTTCGGTGTGTGTGCTTGAAGTTTACACAGTATATGCATGTCAGTTTTGTCTGTGTTGTGATCCTTGACTTTCCCTTCAGATGGCCACGGTCCCACTTGGCTTCTGAAAAGTGTCCACGGTTATTGCAATGCTGTTTATTGTTGAAATGAACATGCTTTCACAATTTTACTTGTGAATATAATTTTAATCCTTTTTCTTCTTTTTTGATTAGGTTTTCAGAGTTCATTCAACTAGAACTTACACAACAAAAAAACTTGATTAACGGATAGAAGTGGTGGACAGCACAAAATTAAGACTTTAAATAGCAGTGCATGGTATTAATTACATTTTATTTTCTTTTATGTTTTTGTCAAAAAGAAAAAAAGAGGGCTTCCTTTTTCATCTGCACAAACCACAGTGAAGCTGCAGCACACAAGATTGTGCCATCTCTAATTACAAGGATGTGAATAATTTGTTTTTTGAAATTAATTTGCCTAGTAAATGTTACTGATGGTCGTACGCCTGAGCACAATGAGTGGCAAATCAAACAAATCTCCTGTTAAACAGCCCCAGTTTAGTAATTCCAATTACGTTGCTGAAATAGCAGCATATTTGTAAAGCAGAAGCAGTGCTGATATTCAGGATGCCAACAATAAAGTGGGAGACAAATGTAGTGTGTGTGCCCATTAATTATATTTAATATTTCCCAGAACATAGCAACATTAAACAGTGTGATGGGGGTCCAATCGTCACCTAATTTAGCAGAAGATCCTCAGTAAATGGTAATGGTCTGTTTTATTAAGAAGCAGACTTACTCTGCAGAATGTTGCATTATTAAAATTTGGCTAAGTCAGCTGCTCTACAAACTACATAACTGTTGTATTTGCATGTAAAAACACACCAAAAGCATGACTCATTGTGCCAAGGTGGAAGACTACTTTTGATTTCTTAAAATAGAAATTAAGTAGTTTTCTATTAATTAAGCATTCCTGTGTTTGAATATGCCTCTTTGTAATTTTTATTTTTTTTATTTATTCAAGTTCATTTTTTCCCCTTGAAAATCATCTCAGACTGTCCTTTGGTGGTGTTCCTACATGAATAAATATCAGACGTGGTTTCAGTTTAGTAAGGCAAATATCTGCTCATCACTGCATCAAACTGATGTTAATCAAACAGAAAAATCAGGAAATGACGATTCAACCGAAGATAATTTATATTAAAAAAAAAAAAAACTGTTGCATTTGCTCAGCTAACTCGTGTATATTCACTTGTAACATCATTTCTATTACTTCTCTGTGGCTGTAGTTGGGGAATACTGACATTGGGATGCAGAACAATAAGTAGTCTTAAGCAAACATCAGATTTGCATTCATTCTTGGGAAACCGTACCCTTCAGTGAAGGTTCAGGGACAGTCCAGCAGAGAATTGGACATAAATAGTGATAAGACACTATTTGTATGTAAATGAATCAGGCAAAGAAATTTCAAGTAGTTTTCAAATAGTTGAAGCTGAAGCAGGAGGTGGTTCAGAGAAAAGCTGCAGAATGTTAAAATTCAGAGTTATAATTTAATGAACATGTATTTAGATAGGAACCTTATATATATGTGTATATATATATATATATATATATATATATATATATTTTTTTTTTTTTTTTTTTTTTTTTTCAAATAAGAATATTTCTTGACTGCCCTACTAATAATGAATTGTCCTCTGAAAATGAATGTCTAGGATTTCCATTATTTTGGATATGGGAATAGTGTTTTCAAGATAAAAAATTCCTGTTGGAATAATTCAATTTGTATTCAGAGGCTCAACAGTAAGTTAGTAAATAGATAAATATGTACATTGTTGAAAATAAATAACTGAAGGAATGGCCAACATGAAGTGAAGTGCAGTAAATAAATAAATGCTGACTTACATGGGTAAAAGATGAATCAGCAGTTAAATATAAATAAATTAATCCAGCCAGCCATTAAGTCTCGAGTTAAAGTTGGAGCTTTATTTCTGGATGGAATCAGTGTGTTTGGAGCTTTTTCCAGGAGCAAAGACTTGTTCCTGTTTACTACATAACAAAATATTTAAATTAACCAAATCTTGACTGGAAAACTCCCAAGGTTCCAGTCAAGTAGCTGTAACAATTTTGTGTGATAAAACATTCAGTATAACTAACTATCGATAACATGAACTGATGTGTTAATTTTTATTACCCTCATTCCACCATTAAATCTAAAAAAAAAAAAGTTGGTTAAATACAATGAAATGAACAAAAAGTGCAATATATTACCCTAAAGAAGCAAAGAAATCTTAAGTTTTTCTGTTAGACGACTGGTCTCTTCTGCTGATGTTTGCTCATCAGGTGACATACTGAGTGGAGCTGATATAAAGAGACTAAAAGATGAAGCTGCAAAGATTAAACATATGAACATGAAGCCCGTTTCATCTGCAAACAAAACAGCTGCCAGTCACTTTGAAAGAACCCTCAACTATTTTGTAATAAAAGTTTGCAGTCTTTGCTGTAGAACAGGGGTGTCAAACTCCAGTCCTCAAGGGCCTCTGTCCTGTAACTTTTAGATGTGCCTCTGCTGCACCACACCTGAAAAGAATAATTAGGTCATTAGCAAGGCTCAGGAGAACCGATCTACACAGGGAGGAGGTAATTAAGTCATTTCATTCCACTGTTTTTTACCTGTGGCACATCTAAACACTGCAGGACAGTGGCCCTTGAGGACTGGAGTTTGACACCCCTGCTGTAGAAAAAAGAAAAAAAACCTAAATAAGCTAAAATCTGTCGATTGCTTGACTTGCACCAGATCAGAAAATGTGTGGAATGAATTTTTTTGTCTTGCCATTTTTCTTTTATAGTGTAATCTCCTACAAATGGGGTTTCACCAGACAACTAGTCAGTCGACTACCTCATGTCACTCATTACAGATGTGTTTCAGATTTTAATGGCAGACTCACTCTGTTCTACAGAATTTTATTTACAGTCCTTTCTTGGTAGCTGCATGTTAGTAGAAATTCTTTTTTTTTTTCCCTTTCCCTTTTCATATCCCTTTCTGTTTCCTTGAAGTTAATGGACTTTACATCACATTGATTTGTACTAAAGGGTCAGACATCCTCGAGCGTCTGGCTAATGGGCCCTTCTAGATATCTTGATTGGAACAGCAAATGGAAGATTTGAGTGCAAAGAGGTGTCAAGGTTAGCCTTTAATTTTGAATTCGTTTCGGTGTTTTTCCTCCATTTATTTGTGTTTAGAGGAGTTTTGGATGAGCAACATTTTCATTCCCAAGCAGAAACAGTGGAGTAATGTGCACATTTATGGGGTAAACTGATCTGAAATCTAATGTTTCTCTGTCTCGTTAAATGCTTCCCGAGAAATATTTCTCTCCCAGAGGTAAGATATTTGGTGGTCTGAGCTGAACTGAATTTCTTTCTGTTTTGTTGTTTCTGAGTCTGCATTCTGACTCATTCATGCATGATTGCTATTACTGTCTGCTTGTTGTGTGTTCCACTGCAGTAATATAACATGTTGTTTATTAATCATCCTTTCCTCACTCGGTATAGTGGCGCTGTTGCCTTTATCGTTTAAATCCCACATGCTAAATTCAGTTTTGCAGAACAAAATTGAATCTTACTTTGATGATGCAATATCAGTTTGCTTCAACCACAGCCGAGTCTTAACAGCTAGAGAGTTTTCAGTCCCCCAATAAGCTCAAACAATAAAAAGTAGCCTGGATTCAAGAAATTTTCAGGGCTTCTGAGAAGCCCTGAAAATAATGAAAAGATAATAAATAGGATAATTCTTTTCAGGTCAAAAAACAGATCAATTTGCATATTTCTATTTTAATCCATGTCCTGTTTGCTGAGTTTGCACATCCATCCTTCCATCTAGCAATCTCTTGAATTTGTGGTTTTGCAGATTCTGCATTCAAAACCTTTGAAAATGAAATTGCTCTAGAACTCTGTACACTTTTTAAAAGATAATTGCAATATTACATAAAAATGTGTAAGAACCTTAAAATAATTTACTGAATCTAATTATTCTTAATGCAGAGGAATATGGAAAAAAAAAACATTTTCATTTCTTTTGGAACCTCATCTACATCATTTACTGTTTTAAAAGTTTGCAGCTTATCTGTACCTCCTTTTTCTAAAACACTTTTTCTTGTTCTGTTTACGTTTTTGTGGCGATTTTTTTTATAACACTCTCTTTTGTTTGCTTCTTGTCCAGTTGATCAGAGTTTGTTTGAGAACTCCATTGCCCAGAAGCAGAGCCCTCAGACCTCCAGAGCAGGTCAGCACTCCACCCGATCCCTCTCAGTATCAGCTAATTCCAATTCTGGCTCCACCTTCATCGACTCCCCATCCTCTGGAGGACAGCAAAGGCTCAAAAATGCCATTAACCTGGGCAAGGCAGTTGGGGCAAAGGTCAGTGCATCATAAGCTGATTTGAAACAATAACCTCTGCGGGTTCTCAAAAAATACCCAGATAGCTTATCTCCCTTCAAAGCTGAGAATTTTCTTTTCCCTAAGGTCAACGACCTGCTGAGAAGAAAGGAGCCGAGCCACCTTGGAGACATCGGCGTCACTGAGGTCAACAAGAATGTTGGCGCAGTTTGGAGCTGCATGGACAAACTTGGCCACAGTTCTGCCAGCAGGTGCATTCACTCATAAAAAATGTCATCAGTTGTATCAATTCAATTTATATTTATATATAGTTAGGGGTTCTAAAAATGATAGAGGACTTGTTTATGTTTCATTGTGTAAAATGTAGACAGCTACCCATGTATGATGTAAGATTTAGCAGATGAGCAGCTGTATGATTTCTTTCGGCAAGTGAATTGCATCACAAACTTCCAGCAAAGGTTCAGTCCAACAGTGAATTAAAAGCAAGCACTGATGTTAGCACTCAAACTACCATATTCAGAGCAAAAACAGGAGGAATCGCGCAGATGTGACTGTGCTTATTGCTGGTAATAAGAGGACAATATTCGGACACTTAGCTTAGCTTCTAAAATTGGTCATATTTATCCTGTATCTTTTTCAGGCAAAAGCTTGGTAAGCACAGCTCCCTCTGCCACAAGGTGAAGAACTCCCACCAGGCTAGGAATTAAATTTTCTAGAGATCTATTAGTTAATACATTTTTGATACTTCTGGGTGCTTAAAAACAACCAAAAAAAGCTTAATTTTTTTGAATATACATATTTTTATGGACTTATTTGTTTCCTGTAATATTTATCAAAGGAGCACAGTGCTGAAAGACGAGTGTCCTCAATTCAAAACACTTAAAGTTAGGTTTCAGAGTAGAATTTGCTGAAATCCCATGTCTGGTTTTAGATCCTCTGTGTGGATTTGTGATGCAGCTGTTTGAGAAATATTACTGCAGTGCAAGATTGTGCACTACATGGGTATTTTAAGTTAGCTGGGATCAACAAACCTAATTGATTTGACCAAACAACATTACAGTTTTATGATTTGCCAAATAATTTGCTAAGATGGAGAACAATGCAAAACAAGGGAGAAAAAATCTCCTTTTAGCTTTTGAATTACCACATTTTTATAACTAGCAGTGACTGAGCTTATTCTTGTAATCGTTCACAGGAGTGAGTTTTTCATGGATGGCACAGAGACTTTTGTGCAGAGTGATCAATAATTATTAGTTCAATTTTACCTTTCAAGGATTGTCATTATGGCACAGTGCCAAAATCTGAAACCCTTTTTGAGAGAGGAAATCTGACCTCCGATATCAGCACAGCTATTCTTCACGTTGAGGTTTTTGAACAGTGGGAGATTTGAGTTAGAGCTCATGGACTCCTGTGGAATGACACTTTTGGGGTATTGAAGGAATGACGGGTTGGCCTTGGACTCGATGCAGGATTTATTTCTACATGCCTAATAATAAGCAAGTCATTTTGGCCTGTGTGAGCAATACTGTACTGGATAGTCAGGTTTAATTTGGTGCTCTATTGCATGATGCACTGCTATGAGTCAGAGGGAGACAGCACGTCTATTACAAGACTTGTTTTCAGCAAGTAGTATCAGATAAATCACAATATTTGCTTTATTCGTGTGAAGAATGACATTACTGGTTGACTTTTAGTGTGTCTGTTGAATTGCTCTTTGAAAATGTGTTTTCTGCTCTTTTATTTGTATATTTTTCAAATGGTTTGTGGGCAGTGCCACTGCAACAGTGAATTAAGGGGTTCATTGATTGTAACTGACAATCGTTTCTTGCTGCCAAACGTATCAACGCCTGTTTGTTTGGAAACTGGGATTGGCCAAAAAGACACATGGTTTCATAAATCACACATGGAACTTGTCCTCCTACCATTTCTGAGCCCAAATGTATTCCAGGTTTTTGATAAATGAGACTCGAAAAGCGTAAACAGAGCACAAGTGTCTGCTTTGTTTGTTTGCTATCAGTTCCTGCTGTTTGAGTTTTCCAGCTCATATCCCTATTTCATCCTCTGCTACTTCAACTTTGCACCTGTAAGAAAAGATTTCAGGTGCTCTAATCTAAACTATTATGTACCAGGGCTATTTTTGTTGTTACGTATTTTTCTGAATTACTATGATAAACCATTTCAATAATTCTAATGAAATTTATTATTTAAATAATGTCTGTATTATCTGAACAGATTACATTACACTGTAATCCAATGTACGATGGCTGTTATTCCCATTTAGACCTGTCAACTTTTATAAAAAAAAAAAAAAAGACAGATAATCTCTAATTAAAACAAATACAAATCTTAATAATGAGGCAGGTAGATATTATTTACTATATTCATGTAAGCACATTTCCCTACAGCAGGCCGTGAGTAAAATTTACAGTGCAAACTTTGGTTTAAAACTTTGTCAAAGTAGGTGGAAAATGTCTCAGTGGCTGGAACAAGCTGGTCAGGAGAGAATGTCACTGCAGAAGCTGTCATTTTAACTGCGGTGATAAATGGGCAAAACCATCAGCTTCTGACTGTTCTAACTCCTCTATCACACATTTACTTGAAAATGAATCGTTATCACCCCCACTAGGTTAAACCCTCTCAGCAGAGAAGAAGCAGAAAATAGTTCTTCTAAGAGTTCTATTTAGAAAATATTTAATTCCACTTTATTTAGTATATTTTTGTTTTTGTTTTTTAAAAAAAGGTTTCGTAAAAGTTTGTTTCTTTGTGTTTTATTTATTCAAATGTTCAATTTATTCCACAACTCAAATTGTCCAAATGCAGCAGTTCCTTTTTTTTGTTGTTGTTGACAGATGAAATAACACAATCATGGCTTTTTAATGGTGACGAACAGAGCTGCTGCAAATGATGTGTGGAGGCAGCAGCATCTTCCTCTTTGTCGTCCTGATATTGACTGTGTGACGGAGGACTCGTGTCCTTGATGAAAGCAGAGGGTGTGTTGCTCTCGCTGTTCTGCTCCAGAACAGTTTGTAGGTGACGTCTCGAGACGGTGGAGAGGAGCCACTCCCTCAAACCTCGCAAGAAACGTCCAGCAGCAGAACCAGATCCGGGACGGTCGGGATGAGCAGCCATGTGCTGCGACCAGCTGGTGGCTGATCGAGAAATTATTTACCGTGATAACACAAAAGTATAGGGAAGGGAGTTTTTACTATGGAAAAGGAACAGAGAGAGTGTAAAGAAAATGGTTGGAAAATTTGGTTAAAAAATGTGTACATGGAGAGCGCTAATTGACTTCATGTTGCTAAGGTTTGCATGTGTCTGAACCTTCAACTCCTATGAGATTTATTTTATTCGTCAGAGGTGCATAGCCTCTTTATTATGTTAATTTAGTTTGCTGAATACTCTGAGCTTTGATTATCTGTGATACTAATCATCAGAATGTTGGTCTAAAGTGAAAGCAGTCGGTTTGTTCCAACTCCTCCGTCACCCAACATGCTGTCATTTGCAGGCAAAAGGAGGTTTAAAGTCTTAATCGTAGGGCAGGATTTGTGTTTTCAGTCAGCTGCACTGAAGCAACGCAAAAGCTTACAAATGGTTGTAATTCAATGTAAAGGTAAAAGGAATGTTGCTTTTATTCAGGCATGATGGGGGTTTTCCTATTCTCACATTTTCCATATTTTTTAGAGGCTTCAGGCCTACAGTAAAGAGTAAAAGAGGGCACCAGATTAAAACTTGAAACCTGTACTGGATATTCTACAGCAGTAAATAATTGTATTATATTTTAACAGTTTCAGCTTTTGTAGTAAAACCTGGTCCATTAGCTCCTGAGATCAATCCCTTCTTCCCTCTCCTCTTTTCCAGCCACATGTTTGACTCCTTTCCTCGTCTCGACCCACCGCCGCCAACAGGAAAGAAGCGCGTCCCTCGAGCTCTGAAGACGACCCAGGACATGATGATCTCCTCTGACCCTGTGGTCGCCTCGCCAGAGCCGGCAGATTCTCCCCCCTTCCTGCCCTCCCCTGACGAAACATCTCAGGGCCCCAACGAGGGGAGTAAGAGTGAGGAAAAGCTACCAGGAGGCAGTGAGGAGCAGGAGGAGAGGTCGACAGAAATCACAGGGCAGCCCAGTCTGGTGGAGAACAAAGCCGATTCAGAGACAGAGGAGACCAAATCCACGACTGATGAAGTCAAAGAAGGGGAGGAAGAAAAAGGGAGCTCAGAAGGAGGTGAGGAGGAACGTCGGCACCAGCTTCAGCTCTCTGTGCCAGACCTCATCAACAAGGATCCTCCTCTGGAGTCCCGAGCCAAACCCTGCGACGTCTGGCAGAGGGCATCCTCGCCAGACTCCAGGCTCGCCTCCTCTCCGATTTTGGGCAAGGCATCCTGCCGCATCAGCCTTGGGGAGGAGGTCCTGCTTGGTAACGGCGCCCCCTGCAGTAAAGACTCAGGAGGAGGCACTGAGGAGGCAGAGCCTCACCCAGACCTGCTGTCCTTCGAGTAACTCAAATGTTTACTGTGGCTTTTAAATGTATCACCCACCCTGCATTAGTTTAGGACAAAGGGAAGAGATGCTTTTCACAAGCAAGGCAGGCTTGAAGACCTGCTGCTTTCCAAACTTTATATCAGCATTTTAAACAGTTTTTGTCACTGGTTTGAGGTCAGTCAGACTACATAAAATATATATTTATACATAAAAGTACACAGTAAAAGGCTGGCTGTTTGCCATCATTTCTGGCTCATGATGCAAAAATAACAGGAAAAATAAAAACAAGGGCCTTTATTTTATTGCAGTTTCAGTTTTAAAAATAAGTAAAAAAAAAAAACAATGTTCATATTCAATTTGTTTTGTAGCTATAGCCTTTAAAAGTTTCCTGTCTGCTTTAACAATTTAATGACAACCTGATTATGTATTAATGAATGTATTTAGTGTGGTGACATTGCCTTTAGATGGGTTAAAGATTTATAGATATGAACAAAACCTTACAATCCTTGAAGACCACACCATTTTTTATGCATAAAAGGGTGTATTTTTTAAGTGTGTTACTAAGCTGCTGCATTAAAGCCAGTTAAAAACTGCAAAAAAGTATATATGTTAAATAGAAATATATATTTTACATTTCGTAATTTTAAACTACATGGTAAAGGTTGTTTTATTTTCCTGCGTAGTTGTTTATAGCATTCTGGAAAAGATGCTCAGAAAAACCAAGCAGGAAGTGAGAATTAAAGGCTTAAAAGAATGTTTGAGATTGAGAAGGTAGGGTGAATATCGCTGTCGCAGCAGGACTGCAACCTCCAGTTCATAAAAAAACAATCGTTTCTGAATGCAAGTTTTTTAACTTCACTTCAGGATGATTTAACTCTCCAAAAGAAGCTTTTTGTGTGAGTTCTGTGCTGAAGTTGGCTTTTCACAGAACAGTGATCAGTGACACAGAATTAGTTATTTTCAAAACTTGTGCAAATCAAGATGCCCGATTTTGCCTGCAACGGGGCTGTCCAAAGTGTTGCCCTCATTTCGAGGGCCATTTTGAGGCCCTCGGAATGATTGTGTGTAGCCCAATGATACAAATTATGATTTTTTTTTTTTTTTAGACAAAGACAATTGAAAAAAAATCAAGAAATTATAAACCTTTTCTTGAGCAGGGCAAACTTGCAAAATTTGATTTCTTTGTTTTCAGTAAAATATTGTGTGTTTGTTTTAATGCTAAGCAGGTAAAATGTTCTAATTTCACAATAAAACATTTTGCGTTTTTTCCTGTAAAAACCTTCTGATATTTTCCAACCAGGCGCTTTTGGCCCACATGGAAAACATTTTGGACACCACAGCTCTAATGGATCCAGCACTGAGAGGAATTTTAATCAAAACTTGTGTTTTGTTCTTGGATTCTGCCACAAACCAGACTGAATATGTGAAGTTCTATAGAAATCTCACTCATCATTTAAAAACAGTATTCAATCACCAATGCCTTAATCTATAAAATATAGCATAACATAAATAAGATGACTATTTTTAGGATCAAAACAAATTTGACATGTTTGACCGTATGAGCTAAAATATGCTGCCATACTGGAACTAAAGGCCAAGGAATGAGCGTATATTGAAGTAATTGCCGGTCTGTGCAGCCAGGATGTGCAAAGACAGGTTGTTCCACATATTAGCTGGAGCGACTAAACATCTGTTCAGACTATAAATCTGTTTTCTTCCTTCCACACCCAATAAATTAATGAGCCGCTAATACTTTAATGCGAAACGGATCAGCTTGGTGTGCCTCTCTCCAGAAACTAACGATGAGAGGTTGTTTCCCTGCTCGGACCTGAAAATGTGCGTGACTTCATATTCCATCACCCTACAGATGGAGACGGGACTGAAAGACGTTTGAATGGAGAGTTTTTAGAAAAGTGATGAGGGGTTTCTGAGTTAAAGAGAGGGCAAAGTAATGAGCTGTCAACAGGAAGGGATGAAAGAGGTGTTTTTTTTGTGGGTTATTTTGTCTTTTTTTGTTTTTTTATTCAAGCGGATCCTAAAGTGACAGACCAAAGACGGAAATTAGCAGCTCAGTCAGAGAGGTTGTTTTATCACTTTTTTTTTTTTTACTTGTCAGAGGAGTAAAAAAGCAATAATATGGGGGAGTATTTTTTGTTGTTGCTTAAAAAGATGAAAGCCAAAGTGTGAACATTTCAACCATTTTTTGTAGATGACGTCCGTGTCTTTATTCTTCAAAAGACAGATGCTGACTCAGGTGCTTGTTACACGTAAGCTGGCATTGAGAGAAATTATTAAGCCTTAATTCACATCTGTTTGTCAGCGCAGGTAAATCGGGGTCTGGTTGCCGTGGTTACTTTAACACAAATCAAGCACTAAGAAGTAGAAACCTGTAATTTTCTAACCTTGCATTCTGAAGATGTTCTTCAGATTTCTGCTCCTGGGTTGTGAGGCATGTTTGTATAACACCCTGGATATATTTCTGTTTTTTTTTTTTTTTTTTTTTTTTTTTTTTTTAGCAGAGAACTAAAGTGTAGAATACCATGAATTTCCCAGAAGAAGCTGAGACCAAAAGCAGCACCAGCTGAGAATGAGAGGAATGTGTAGCTCGTACTTATGAGGGAAAAAGCAAGCTTTGTCTCAGTTTTTTTTTTTTCTGAATGTGTCTGAGGCACTGAACTGTGTAACCAAGCAGCTGAGGCCTCCTCCTCCTCTGCGGTTCTGAATCATGTTCCTTTTTTTTTTTTTTTTTTCAGGGAAATTACTCAGAGCTGCAGATGTTTGAGTAGAAAGCACTCCAAAAAAAAAGAGAGATATTTTTATACATATCTAAAAAAAAATAAAAAAAGAGCTTTAAAGTTACGGGGAACTGAGTCTTTGGATATGCAGATACCATATCCAGGTTTCTGACCATTACCTGTAGGGATGCACTACATGCACAAGTCTTAATAAGTACCTTGTTTTTTAATTGCAGAATAAGACAAACTTTCTTGTAATATTTGAAGTGGTTTTGATCTGTAGTTTCTAGGCTTCTGAAGGTTTTCCTAAAAATAATTATTTGAACTTTTACTTCTTTTTCAGTCGACATTAGCCTATTAACCATGACCAATAAATGATGCAGACTGAACAAGGCTGCTAATATCAAGCGATAACCCAGTGGTGTGTTGACAGGGCTTTCTCTTACCAGAGGCCTGCCATAAATACAAAATTGCTTCCTATCATTTAACCGAATTTAAAACTTTGATCAATTTCGGTTGTCATGGATCTTTTTTTTTTTTTTTTTCAATAATTTTTTGTCTTCAACTTCTCCCTCTTCCACTTTGGATTATACATGACACCAACAGTTAAGATATCTCCAATTAGAGTGATTTTGCATGTTATCAAGTTCGTGGTAATATACAGTCAGTATCTCCACCTCACAGTGAGTCTGTCTGCTTAGTCATATCTATTTTAGCTATGTGGAAAAAACTCATTGTGGGGAGTAGCTAACCAGTTAAATCTGGTTTGCATCACAAGCTCCATTCTGAAGGTTAAGGGAAGTATAAAGTCACTCAGGGTTTCAGTGCATTGTTGATAGTTATACAATTTACTATTGGCATGTTTAGAATCTGCATAAGAGTGAAAAAATATAACTGAGTATGGAGACGCATCTTTCCATACTTAGATATGTTTTTTATTTATAATAAATGTATGGACGGCAATAATGGCTGCACCATTTCAAGATCAGGAGTTGACTATTTCATTATTTTGACGTGAAAGTATTTTTGAATAATAATAATAATAATAATTGTCATTTAAAATTTAGTAATGCATCAGTCTAGGATCAGTTTTTTTTTTCCATCTTAAGCCAGTAGACCGCATCACTCTAATTTGAATTTTAGCCTTTATATTTCAAGATCAACTATGATCATAACAAAACCAGTTTGAGATTTAATTTTCTTCAGATAAGTTGATTAAATTATAACCTCAACAAACTGAAGCTATGTTTTCTTGAGATAATAACAGAAATAAACTGTTGTGACAGGTCAAGCTAACACCTTGTCATCTTACTATGACTTCATTTTATGACTAAACGTTTATTAAAAAAAAAAAGTTTAAATGTATATGACAATTTAGATTTTCATAATTTCAACATAATGGTGGTAGGTAATCAAAATAAATTCGTAACATTCTGTCTGAATTTACTGACTGAAAACCAGCCAACCCACACACATTTACAGTACATGAACTTTCCCAAACTTTCGTGGGTTTGCATTTCACAGTTATTACAATTATGTGACATACTTCTGCTGCTTTAAATACCTGGAACACATTGATACTAAACCTCAAATGCTTAACAAAAAAATCCAAATCAGTTGCAATCTTAGATCTTAAAAGCCTCGACACATTTGAACAGATGCATCTGGACAAGGATGATAGTTTAGAAACATAACTTGTGTAGGAACCTTTTTACTGCCTCACCGCCTGGGGGTTAGGGGGTTCAACTTCCACATCTATTATTATTATCTATTATTATTTTAGCCTCAAAATGCACAAAACACTGCCATAGACGAGGAAGAGAAACTGATTTGAATGAAAATGATTAGAGTGAAAGAGCAAAACCAAATGAAATCCTGGAGAGGCCTTTTTGAAGACAAGAAATTACAAGAAAGTTTGTAACCAATATGTTGGAAAAATAAGCAAAGATTAGTTGATTTTGCAAATAATAGCTGGATAATGTACATAATGAGCATATCCACAGCAACAGAACATCTATAAAAACATAAGCAGAATACTATAGTGTTTGTGAATTCTCTGAATAGAAATTAGAGACGGAGCCCGAAGCCTGATTTTAGTGAGAGCTTTTTTTTTTTTTTTTTTTTTTTTTAAAAAGTACCTTTTCTGGAATGCTTGCATTTCCTCTTCTTGACCTTAAAAACCATTTTTAAACATTGAGCTACGTTTAAAACATGTAAGAGTCCGTATTTAAAAAAATAATCAAGTTTGTTATAATATCACAAGATTGCTGTTATGCTTGATTCTCTTTTTATGAAATTACCAAAATGATTGTCTGACGTTTGTGTTGCAGTATGTTTTTATGCGCATTTGGATCTGATATATATATATATATATATATACATATTTTTTTTTTTTTTTTTGTGTTTTTTTTGTCTAATTTAAGATGACTTTAGCACAAATAACACACTAACATAATCAACTAAAGATAAGGGCAAAAAGACACTATGTAGCTGTTTAGAAGACCTGAACTCTATTTCCTCTTTGGAAATAGTAAATTCTTTGAAGACGTCAAGCATTCTGCATTTTGTTTCAGTCTGTAAACCACTAACTTTATCATTTTTGTTGAAGGAACAGTAATGTACAAATTTTACCAAAAGTTTCTTTTCCTAACAACAAATGAAGGAGTTATAGAATGTAGTTTTTATTTAGCTATTTACTTTATGTTTATGTTGAAATGTTATGTTTTTGTCTCTGCAAAGCCAATCTGCATAATTCCAGTTTTTATTGATGAATGAAGGACGCTTGTGTAACACATGGACTTTTTAATACCAAGGGACTGTTGAATGTCTAAAGGAAGCTTCAGATGTTTTATCTTTAAACTGTTGCTAATTTTTTTATCAAGCAAAAGATGAAACTGAATGATTTCTACCTTGTATTTTCCTACTATACTTGTTATAAGAGGAGACGTAATAATTTCCTACAATCACTGTAATCTTATAAATTTTGATTTAACCATGAAGTCATTGTCTTATCTGCTTGTGTCCTTTTTAACATCAAATTAGTTTTTTTTTCCTCATATTCTTTTAAATCCTATTCAATTCACTTAGAAAAACAAAGGAGTGCAAAACGATAAAATAGTTAGCATGACCTGATTGCGAAAGTATCTACATCCTTAAACAAAAACTTTATCAAAGCACCTTTTGATTTAATTTCATCTTTGATTTTTTCTGAGTTCTGCCATTATTTACAGTAAATCTGATCAACCAGAAATAAAGCTCAGCCGTTCAAGATAACAATTTTCTCCAGACATTTATTTTGTACAGCCATCTTCCTTCTCACGCCATGAAACTCAGCCAGTAGCTGTGCTGCATTTCTAATACTTACCCAGATGTCACACCGAAGTGCAACCAGATCACAGAACAGATGGCAGACAAAAGTTTTATGTGATGCTCATAAAATATCACACAATCTCAAAAACAGACCAGAAACTGTTATCTATCAGCATGTCCAAGAGCGAAAAACGTTATTTACTTAATAAACTTCAACTTTTATCTTACCACTCC